CAGAAACGGTGATGTCCGAGGATTACTGAAGGCAGCATTCACACCTGTAGTCAATCAGCTGATTGGGCGGTCCCAGTGAGGAGCATCTATGATATTCTCCGTCCTACTTTCTCAGATTTGTGTGGATTCCTTTGCAGATGCCAACATGAAGCTCTCGGGAATCCTGGCTGTGCTTTTGCTCGTCTATACTGAACGGAGCGGTTTCGGGATGTGTCATCCCAAACCGGCCTGTCGCTACCCTCCCTCACAGTGGTGTAGGTCGCTGGAAATAGCGATAGAATGCAGGGTAAGTCTGACCACACAGGGGGTCATCTATGCTCCTACTAGTAATTTAGTTTAGTATAGGCTAGGCACAAGTAAGCACAGCTGAACGAGATTTAAGAAGTTTATTACATTTTTATACATTATTCGTGTGCTTTTACTCAGCAGAATGTAAAATGGTCCTCTCAGTATGAAAGCGTCTTCTTAATGTAAACACTTTAAAGCAAAGGACTAGCAGGAAAACAAGAGGAAATGTTTAATATTGCTACTGTGCACCCAAATGGTATCATTCATCACTGTTGTACCTATAGAGGACAGTTTTTGAGCTGAAAGTTTCCCTGGTCTGGACATTAATAAGAGTCATGCCTCAGAAATTCAACACCAGAGGTTGTTCATGTGACTGACAGAGCAGCTTGAGGTCAAATCATGCAAACACCTAATCAGTTTAGAGAAAACAGAGTGTGGAGGAGGAGATGAATGTGTAGTGACGCTTCCTTAGACCATTTTGAGCTTTGTGTCTTTCATTAATGTTAATCATTGTCCTTCCTCTTTATTTCAATAATGTAGAAAATGCTCAGAGCACCGAAGAGCTATTCTTTTCAGTTCCAATGATTGTGTTTTAAACTTAAATTTGCAAAACGGTTCAAGTCACATTTGTTACTTTTTAAAAATTAATCCTTGTACATGGTACAAGTCATGGAAATGTTCTTCAGCACTGAACTTGTATGTGAGCGTGTTTGATGAGCTTCAGAAAAGTGTTTTCTGTAAATGTAAATCATGTAAGCAGTTATGAAAGACACTTTTTAATTGTCTTAATTCTTACTGAAATGGGATGACATCAACTCTGTTATTTTGTAGGTGGAGAAACAGTGTATGGAGGTTAATGCCACCAGGCCAAACCAGGCTGTCCCTGTAGTATCTGTCACACTGTACTATGAGAGTCTATGTCCAGACTGCAGAGAATTTATCACTCAGCAGCTTTTCCCCACCTGGACAATGCTGCAGGACATCATGGCTGTCACACTGGTGCCCTATGGGAATGCTAAGGTCCATCAGTCCTTCCTCTGTTGATGCATGCAGCATTCAAAAACAAAGAGGATGTTTCACCTGAATAAACCTGGGCTTTGTTTCTCTTGTAGGAGCTTCGCTCAGCAAACTCTCCCTTCACCTGTCAGCACGGAGAGCCTGAATGCAGAGGAAACATGATCGAGGTTTGAACAGCTTAAGCTTTAAATGTGTTTTTTGTTTTGTTTTTTTGTTTTTTTTCTGCCGGGTCTTCTAGACTGATTGATCTCTTCCTCAGGCCTGTATCCTCCATTTAACCGAACGCACTCTTGCATTTCACATCATCTACTGCATGGAGTCATCTGCAGATGTTCTGAGCGCTGCACAGTCTGTGAGTAACTTCAGAAAAAAATGTTTATTTAATATAAGGGTTGTTTTTATTTCCAGTAATCACAACTGTTACTGTGATAGCTGAGCTCATAGTCCTGAGGAGCCAGCACAGGCCATCAAGAAAATAACCCCCCTGCTAACCTGATTCACGTCCTCGGGAAAACTTGTTTCTTGATGAGTTTATGGTCTCAATCCCTGGTTTCAAGTCTTATTGTATACAGTGTGATGTTCACTCTGATGCTGATTAAATAAAAACAACAAATGAAAGGAGAAAAGGACGGCCTACTCTGTAACTGAGGAGTGCAACAGCCCCTGACATCAAAAAGCAAAAATGGCAATCACAAATGCTCTGCTCAAATTCTGAATGGACCGATGGGTGACATCACATTCGCTATGTCATTGCCCTTCTGCTTCTTCTGTTTTCTGTTTTCTTTTCTCAGTGTCTCTGGCTGTATGCTCCCTCTGTGCCCTGGTCCAGAGTTGACTCGTGTGTCAAAGGAGATCTGGGATACCAGCTGATGCGTGCCAACGCTCTTATGACCAGAGCCCTGAACCCTGCACACACACATGTGCCCTGGATCACCTTCAATGGGGTAAAACACAAGCTGAGATTTGTTTAACATACCGAGAGCTCTATCTGCTTCTGATTTTAAAAAGCTAGAATTTGAAATTAATTCTGAGCTGCAGAGAATATGAACTAACTTGTGTTTTCAGACAAGGCTTGTGCATCTTTCTGCACTTCTAGTTTCTACAGCTATTCAGATTACACCAAATCTGTAAGAGCTAAAGTGAAAAGATCTTAACATTTTTTTCTTTTAAAAGTACAAAAATCATGTAGTCCCTATCAGCTGCTTAAACTCTTAACTGATATGACTAAGCTGAAATTATTACTGTGAACAGAGTTGTAAGTTTAAAATTCATAATTTGGGTTCAAAGTTTAAAAAGGTTAACTTAGATAATCAAACATTTCAAGCGAATTTAATACCTTTTGTGGGGTTCACAGAAGGAAATGCTGGGACTAAGTGCTGTCCTTATTACAGGAATACACAGAAGAGAATGAAGACAAAGCAATGTCGTCCCTTTTCCAACTGGTTTGTCATCTCTACAAGGTGAGTAGATGTATTTGTGAATTAAGTGCTTTGATTCAAACACAAAACTCTAGCGTCTGACTTTTTGTGCATGTTTCTGCCTCTACAGGGGGTGAAACCTCCAGCCTGCACTGGAGCTCCGGTGCGGCTCGACAGAAGCTTCTGCTGAATAATATAAATAAAGTTATATGTCAGTCCTACAGGCACGTGACACGTTAAATTAGCCATACTAATGTTTAGTTTGTTTCAGTGTTGTCATTAATACTATGAAAATGTAAGCATATAGAGTATTATAACTTGTGTAACAGAGCAGATAACTAAGTTGTCTCTTAATTCAAATATGTTTTATAATAACAAATGCAGCCAAACACAAAAAATTTCCATATAATTTATTGGCATTTTCCACTTAAAACACCCTGAACTCCCGAGACTCTTTTGGCTTAAAATGCGAAACAAAAATAGATTTAATTTCTCTGGCAAAAACATCGGAGTGGCAGGTGGATACATACTTGTGAAGTATACTTGATTTTTAGGCTCCAGAACATAAAATCAGACATCCTATGTTACAGTACTTTGTATTGACAGACACATCTGAAGAATAAATATCTCTATAGAAGTTTGCACGACACAGAGGCTGAAAGAACAAGACTGCATGGACGTGGGTGGAGGCGGTGTCAGTGCAACACAGTCTCTGTGTAGAAGCGGGAACGCTCCCGCTCACCGACACAGATGGCGCTGTATGGCACTGACGTCTTCCTGCAAAGAGCCACGGTGCTGAGTTTAACCTGCTGAAACTCCTCAGACTGTTAAGTGCTGAGCAAATTACACCTGCTGTCAGAAAACTGTTGCTGTATATCTACTTAAAGTATCACACAAGATAAAAATATGAGCTTTTAATTTGTTTTTTGTTACAATAAGAGAAAATAATGACTAACTGGAAACACATTATTTGTTGTGGCACATCTGAGAAAAATCAGTTTAATCTCAGAAGCCACATTTTTAAATGTGTTTTTACATTTTTGGACGATTATTCTTTAATTAAATGTAGTACAAATATAATAAACTTCTTTGGGGGGGTAAAACCATTGTTTTTGCTCTTTGTTTGTGCTCTTTGATAATGTAGTCATGTGAACATGGCTACACTATGCAAACATGTAACTAAAATAGGTTTTCTCCTGATAGAAAGCTGTTTGACTGGATCAAAACCAACCAGTGCTAAAGGATCTTGACTCATGGCTGACGAACCACAAACCAACTTTTGACATGATACATGTTTTTTGATGATGTAACAAAAACAGACGTTTAAAATGCAGTGTTTTGAAAATGTTTGCTTTCAGGGTGATGCTCAAAGGCTTTGAGGTTCACTGGCTTACATTCAGCCTGTTACTCTAGATAATTAATAAAACTAGCCAAATGCAGACACTTCTGTCATACGAAGGCATCTGTGGTCAGCTGGATACTGATATCTAAATATGCTAATGAGTAAAATTTACTGTAAAAACTGAACTGCTCTGATTACAATGTAGAATGGTTTAATAGGAGACATTTTTAATATGACATATCTACTCACAATTATTTTTATTAGACCTTTAAACTGTCTTTAAATCTGGAGCCTTTGAAAAAAATCTTCTTTTGCACACTTTGTAAACGTTCTCAAAAAATGTAAGTCTGGCAACAGTTTTCCCACTTTCCTCTTTCTCCACGGAAAAATGAATGGAACAACAGTCTGAGGATCAGCATTTCGAAATCATCACAGTGGTCCTTTAGCACAAGGCTCAAAACGTTTATAAACCACGTAAGGCTGATCAATAAAGCTTACTAGCTGAAATAATGAAATACTGTTGGACTAGTGTTTTCTACTACTGCCTGACTGGGAAGTGCATCGTATGTTGCGTAGTGCTTGCTTACTTCCCGGTCTTTCTACCTCAGTGACAGCGACAAACACTGTTCTAGGCTGAATGTGTACTTGGTACAGAAAGACAAAGTCATGAAACACCTGAAACTACACACATCCTCGAGTCTCAGCTATCTGATTAGGAAAGAACTGAACAGACGGATCCAAAGCTGCACAAAATCTATTGAATCGTTTGCCTTAAATACTGTTAACGTGTATCATTTGTAAAAACTAACACTATAAAGTTAATGACTTTGATACAATCATCAGGTTAAAATCTCTAGTGTAAAAATGTACAGCATTGTAGGCTGGCAGGTGTTTGTGTGTTGTCAACACTTGTGGCACACATTTATCCCAGTCGAGCACTATCTACCAAATAAGAGCTGATGGAGCACAGTCTGTTTAGGATGAACTACAGGTGACTTGTTTCTGCCACCCGAGCTCTCTCTGATCTCTACATCGGTATCTGTCGGCAGGGTAGGAAAACACACCGCTAGGATTTTAGAATTCAAAGATCCTCGTTGGTTTTTTTATGGAAAATAAAGCAATTTAGAAGCAGCATCTTTAGTTCAGATGTGTAAACATGTTTTACTTTTGACTGAGGTTTGAAGGTTTGTGTGTCGAAACAACATTTTACCATTAAAGGATAAGGCTGGCATTTTTTACATTTTCTAAAATACCTACAAAAACAAAATCAACAGCAATGGCCTCTTTTATAAAGTGCTCTGAGCTCAAGTATGACTTAATCAAACAGGTGTCAAAGCCTGTGATGAACTACGCTGCTGGTTTGTCTTCCCCGCTCTGTTCAGATCAGATGGTTGACGGCTCAACATCTAGACTTATAGCATGGCTGAAGCTTTTAAATTTCCATCTGTCAGCCATTATAAATGCACACACTGATAGTTTGTCAAACATCCAAGTGGCTTCCTTGGATGGAAGTTAACAGGATGCTCGGAGAGTTTTGGGAATTCTATCTGATCTGAAAGACATGATGAATACACGTGTTACAGAAGTAATATAGTAGAATACTTGTTACTTTTACAAGAAACAAGCAGTAAATCTTAAATTTCCCTGGACATAAGCACAAATCTCCTCAATAATCTCTCTAATCTCTTATAAGCACTACACAAATGTTGGTTTTAAAAACAAAACAAAACATTTGAATGAGCATAGATGTTCACAGAGCTTCAAAACAGTAGTAGCTGTAGCTGCTGATTTTAATTGTAGCAGTACAGACAGAAATAATGTGACTGCATGAATAGTGTTTCCCAACAAACATGTGGGAGCCTTTAAAAAATGAACAGTTTCTTTGTTGGACACATTTTCATCAGGATGGTAGAAATAGGATTGAACAAAAACTGACTAAATTATAATTAGGGAGCATGTGCATCTATGGAACATCTATAGAACAGATGCCACACAATACTTGTGGTTCATTGTTTGCTGATTATTAAAAAAAAGAAGGTTTTTGCCAGCATTATTCTTTTATAAGAACAAATTCAGTTTGGGTCAGAGGTGGGAGGCTGAGTTTTATATTTCACCTACAGTTGTTGGAGTTTGCACACCTTTGGACTGTCTCAAAACAAACAGATGCAGTCCTAGAATTCCGATATTATCTGACCGGTAGATGAATAGGAACTTTATTATTGTTGCACGCCATCAAATCCTTTGTTGAGACGCTAGTTTGTGAAAACTGGTTAGTTTCCCGCCCTGCCTTCTGGTACCTTTAGTCAAATGCTTTGTACTGTGTTTTTGTGATCAGCAGGCCTACAGTGGGTGAAGCCCTTTTTTTGTGACTGAACAGAAGAGCTGAAATGGCAGAGACAGTAAAGTGCTACTGCGGACTGGAGGCACCCTGATTTAAAAAACCGAACAAAACAAATGCTTTTTAAGCACTTAACCACAGACGAGATCAGCTAATGTACAACAAGGAACAGGTCGAAAATCAAAACAGAACAATGACATCATTAAAAGTCATTACAGGTACAAAATAAAATAAAGCTTAAACTAATTATACAGGTGGTGTCTTATAGTATCAACAGGTGAGACTGGGGTAAAGTCTTCTTCAGTGTTCAGTTTCTGTGGTGCTACAAGCTGGTTTAAGTATGTAAGTTGCCAAATTGTATATTAAAGGGTTTTGATTAAATGTAGAGACACACCATGGGTTAAAGTCTCATTTGTCCGGCTTGGAGGTAAATCAAACTGGAAAGACTGTTTGGGGTGGTGGTCAGGTTAGGGGGTACCCAGTACATCTGTGCTACATTAGATTTATGTTTCTCTTCATACCCTGAGGTTAAGGTCCACCGATTTTTCTCATTTACATCCCGTATTTGGTAAAATGATTCATCTCTCACATCATTCTTAAAGAAATCAGACTCACTTAATCCAACGAGGACTCAATAATTTTATACCTTAAACTGAAACTATGGTGCAAAATAATTTCCAAGACCCTGTCACACCACTGCGGTCCTCATTCGCTGCTCGCGTTCAAATGTCACAGTTATTTTGAAGGAAGACATTTCCTTTACCTTGTTACCTCTTGTTAGAGTACAGGCCTCAGCTTCGTTCTTCTTCCCAGAATAAACGCAGCAGTTTCGTTTTCTTTGTTTCTGTCTGGGACTCTCCAAACTGAAGCTATAACAAACCAGGATGGCCTATCAGGCACCCAAAGATAGGCAAAAACTATTCTCCCTGCTGAAAAACGAAACCTAAAACAGAGGGGGAACATTCCTCTGTTCTCCAGAGTGGGTGTCTCCAGTGTAAAGGGACTGTGGTGATTTTACAGACATTATTGGTAAAGGCTTGCCCTGCCTCCATCGACATACATCCAGCACCCGTGTCTCTCAGGCAGGGCAGGTTGTGCTGGTCATTATGTGCCCAAACGCAGGCAGGCCACTCCGTCGCCCTCCTGGCTCAGTTCTCTGTCCGTGTCGGCACCTTCCCGCCCTGGGGAGACTGGCGCTCTTTGAGGGCTGGGGCTCCGCACCGACATGGCAGCCAGGTTCAAGGTCCGAGATGGGTGAGGCGAAGGGGGACGGTACCTGCCGCTGCTGCTGCGGGGGTCTGGAGAAAGAGATGGGGAGGAGGAGTCTCGGTGCCTCTCCGCAGCAGACTGAGACTCATTCTCTATGGGGCTCTCAAGGTCAGAATCTGCCTCCTCCTCTTCTTCCTCCTCTTCCTCCAGAGTTAATTCAAACTGGAACTTGTCCCCTCCTCCTCCTCCAGAAGGAATGGGTGCTCCTGCTCCCAAAGCTGCTGGTCCCACCTCAGCCTGGTGCTCTTCTGGGGTGGAAGGCGAGGGGCTGCGGGGGATCATGCTCTGGTACCACTCCCTGTTGTCCTCCAGTGTGTCCAGGATGTCCTGAGCGTCGGGGTGCACTAAGTCGGCCCAGGTCTCCCACAGCGGGTGCACAATGAAGTCAATGAAGCTCACCTGGTTATGATAGTAATGTTAACAATAATACAACAGCAAACGTGACAGGAGTACGATACATAAAGGACAAACAGGATCACGTTTGCAGAGTAAATACTGGAGAGGTGGTTTCAGGACACGTAGGAAGAATAACAAACTGTGCAAAAGTCTTGAGCCACTCCTCATTTTTTTAATATTTTGCCCGGAAAAATGGGAAATATGTGCAGCAATTTATAGAAATATTTTTAAATATACATAGAAATGAAGTATATGAGGCAGAAACAGCTGAACAATCAGTGAGGATTGCTTGCTGCTTCAGTAACGTTGGAGGCCAATCCATGACTGACAGTGTTTGATTATGTGTTTTTTTTATCCAGGTGTGCTTTTACTGCATTGGCAGTGTGTTTGGGATCTTTGTCATGCTCAAAAAGAAAACCGGTGCCATTTAGACACTTTCCAGATGGTGCTGCATGATGGATCAAAATCTAACTTTACTTTTACTTTTGGTCATAATTCCATCAATGCTGACAAGAGCCTCCATTGTGTTTTACAGATATTCACTGTGGCACTTTCTCTCATTTTCAGTCCTGTTCTTTTATGTAGTTCCCTTCCTTAAGAATGGCTTCTTGACAGCCACTCTTCCACTGCATCAGCTCTAGAGCCAGAAGCATTGCACAGCACATCCATCTGAAAAGGTCAGGTTCATTGCCTGAACTGAAAGTGAGTGAAAAAGCATCCAAATGTCTTAAGAAAAACCTTGAAAGACTTTCAGAAATCTTTTGCTCAAGAGCACTTTAAAAGGATTATAATAAAGTTTGCCTCCTTGGAAACAAAACACAAGGAAATGAGGGGTGGCTAAAGACATGCACAGCACTGTACATTTAGATTCAACCTACGAAGGCGTATATATTAGCTCATTGCTTATTGTATTGCAATTATGTATGGAAGCATTATGTAGACAGGTTATTATGAGACTAAAACATCTGTTAACTTTGCCATCTGTCAGCACCTGACTCTTTTCTATGGAGGCGTTGTGTTTGTCACACATGGGGCTGATCTCCATGCCTCTATCCCGCTCCCTGTCTCCCTGGGTGAAACGCTCCTTCATGATGCGGTCCGTCCACTGGCGGTAAAGCTCCAGCGGTTTGGTTGGATTGCTCAAATCTGCACAATGGACCATGTTCTGCAGAACCTGGAAGAGAAAAACGCAGTCAGATGTGGCGTGTCATGCTGGGCAATGTTAGAGATGCAATGCGATCTCAACTGTAAAAATAATCCAGAAAAAAATTCAGTTTGAAAAACATTTTGAGCTTTGGCAACAGTCACTCATAAAGCTAAGAAAGTCAGTGTTACTGTCATTTGATTTTTTGGGGGGTTAAATCTGTCCATTCAGAGCAGCAGTCACTGCTGACAGTAAAAACTACTGTTTATTCAAACAAACTGCATTTTGTATGTGCTGTCAAGGAGGTGGGGTATTTATTACCTCTTTTTTTTTTTTTTTAAGAAATTACACAATTTATTACTTAGAAACAAGATGAACACAGAACAAAACAATACAGATTTTCATATATTGGACTGAGAGGGTAAATACCCAACTTTATTCTTTATTACTATGATCAAAACCTTTTACTTCCATCAGAACCTCAATACTCAGCAAAACTGTACAGATGTTATGACTTATCTGTCCAGTAGGTGGCAGCATCTTCACACAGACTGCCTGGTTTAACGTGCAAGCTGTACAGCTGTGCACAGGTCAAAATGGAAACATGCTGACACCAGTGTCTTCGAGCCACTGCATAGTTTTCATCTGTCACATTGAGCAATTTTAGTACCAAAATCCTTTTTATTAAAGACCTAATGGTGAAATGTACAGAAACAACTCTCTTCTGCTCATTGCACTGAATGGACAAATGGTTTGCACACGTATATAATTGAAAAAAATATAATGTATAGAGATATGTATAATAATTATTTTTAAACATATATATACTATTAAAGTGTTATGCCAGCAGGAGTTGCTCTAACCTGGATACGGTCAGAGTAGTTGTCTAGTAGAAGGACTCCCAAACTTGTGACTTTCTTGGTCTCCACCATTGTCTTCATGTCTGCCAAAAAGTTCATGTGTTTGGACATATCTGTGGCCAGCACCTACAGAGGACAACAACCACACAAACACACACAATGCATTACAATTGTAAGGGTCTCATGCTCAACCTAAAGATGACTTCCTTGTGATTACAAGGAAAAGGAAGGATAGATGCAGGAAGTGAAGTGTTGTCTTACAGTGCCTGGGTTACAAAATGTAATGCTGACAAAGCAAATGCACACAGGCTGTTATCATCTATCAGATTCACTGCAGCAGTCCTGAGCAACACCTGATCTGTGTGTGTGTGTGTCTGTGTGTGTACCATGTTTAAATATCTTTGTGGGGACCAGAAATTTGAATGTTACTATGTTTGTGGGGGTTAGAGTGAGCGGCTAGGAATAGCATTATGTCAATGTGATGTGCAACAGCAAATATTATGTTTCTGAGTTCAGCTCACAACCTTCTGCTTTTCTTTGTTCCGTCCAGTTGTAGATGCAAAAAAAAGGAAGCTGCAATTTTGTTCTCAGGAAAAATATATTACCAACACGACTTTTCAGTGTATCAGCAAGCATTGACAAGACAAACAAAAAACTGAACTGAAAAGATCAAATTTCAAAGGGACAGTATAACTAATGTTATAATATAAATTGTATAAAAAGGGCAGCACTCTCACCATGTCAATCACCATCTTGCGGAGAGAGTCTCTCTGTTTCTTGCTGAGGTTCTGGAAGATGTCACAGTTTTCCTCCTGCAGCAGTTTGAAGCCCACAGCGAGATGGTGGTTTTCCAAAACTGACGCGTCATTATACATCAGCGCCAGCTCTGAACCTGGAGAAATGGAGGTAGAAATCCATAAAAACAAAAAACAAAACACCTTGAAGATAATTCTACTTTATTTAGCTTGATGTAAATCGGAGCTCACAGCAACCCACTGGGAATTAAATCATGTGCCACAGTGTGCAAATATAATAAACAACCCAACCTGGCATCATTTCTATGTATTACTATGTATTTTAAAGAGTGGAAAAGTTAAGGAAACATATTAAAATATTTTGGCTGTAATTATTATTGATTTTAATCTGTATTTTTTTTTAGCTAATTTTCAACTTTAATGTATTTACATCGTCAATTATTAATCTAAACTATTATTAATGATAACGACTGAACAAAGCTGCTAAAATAAATGTGCAGATTACGGAGATCCATATAGATTAAAATAGACATATTAAAATAAAGGAAATAACCCTTTAATGCATAGTGGTCACTACAGTGGACAGCTATTCAAAGGCTGTGTTCTTGTATTTGTGTCAGTGTTGATGGTACACTTGCACATAAACCACTACAGTGGTCAAAACATATGTTGTCCACCTAAGTGGACATGTAAAAAAACTCTTTAAAAAGTTCATGTTTTAAAAAAAATGAAGTTCAAAAATCTTTTTTTCATGTCTAAAGATGAATAAAAATACTGATTGAGGTTGTCATAATTCATGCACCAAAGGTTTAAAGGAACAAAAATAACAGAAATTAATAAAAATCAATAGAAAACCCGTGGCGTGTATTTGTATGAGAAAGTGGAATAGTGACACACAGGTATGCATATTGTTTTAGAGTTAACTCAGATCAGTCTGCCTCCACTGTTTGATAAATCTATCATCCTGAGGTCTCGGGGAATATGGCGATCCAATCTGATATATGTACTACTGTATCTTCTTGACCCGCTGTCATGCACGCAGGGGATGGTTTGTGCCATTTAACTGTGATACACCTGATTGGTGCAGTTATCACTATACTTAGAAAATAGTGTTCATATCTGGTATTTGATACAAAAATGCCACCTTTTGATCCTTAGTGACATTTTGTTGGAATACCTCTTTAAAAGCTTAATCCTAAGCTTTTAGCTACAGTTTCTTAACAGTCAACTTTTAAACTGTCCTTATTTACCCCAAGCTGTGTGCTGTTTAAACAGAAAGACAGAAGCCTACTGGTGTTTATGAGGAACTGGTTGGTGACTCCTGGGTGGTCAACATCGTGGATAGCACTGGCAAACAGAGCGGCAATGATCTCCAGGTCTGTGAAAACCACCTGAGGTGAACGAGGAAGAGAAAATTAATTTATTCAGAAGAAAAAGTAGGTGGAGCTCTGCTCGGTCCACTGAGAGATCAGAGCCCTGGAGCTGGTAGGGTTAAATAATGCCTTATTTGCTCACCTCTAAAGCCGGGGTGGAGAGGAGGACGTGGGTAGACTGCACCACATCAGCTGCGTGGATGCTGTTGTGATAAGCTATGTCTGCATGGTAGTGGTCCTCTAAGGTCATCATGAAGGTGATGAAGGTGTCAACTGGGATATCGAAGGTTTTCAGAAGGTCTCGCTCCTGTCACATTGATGAGGAGCATTCAAAATAAACATGAGACACAAATTGGGTCGATTCTGGTCTTTGGTGGAGCGAACAGATTTCTACCTGGAAAATGGTGTACATGGTCACTGTCAGAGGACGGTTTCCAGAATATTCTGCTACTTTGAATATATCCATACCCCAACGATCGATATCCTCAAATTGCTGCAGAAATAAAAGAGAGCATGTAAATGACACAGCGCATTTGTAGGTGTGTTTGTGTCTTTCTGTCTTTGCAGCGTATGCGCGAACCCACCTTGGCTAGCAGGTTCTCGTGTGGTGTGTTGACTCCAAAGCGAGGGATGGAGGCAGGCGCCAAACCCGGGCTTTGTGTGACCTTTTTCACACCGCTGATCTGTGACATCGGCCTCTTTTTCTTCTCCTTCTCCTTCGGAGGAGGAGAAAGGATTTCCACGTCATGTTGTTTCTCTGCAACATGAACAGACACGTAATGTTATGGCCAGATGTGATTCATTAGATCTGTAGGTGTTAGAAAAACCATGACAGAGTGCTCACTGCATCCACTTGTGTCTTCAACCAATTTAAAATACACAGCCACTTGATTATTCAGTTCTACCCGCCTTACATTTAGAGGGAGATAATCATGCTGGTTTTCTTATCTTTGCAAAGCTTTTTACTCTGACAAACGCAAAAAAATCACAAGTTCTCTCAGATCTGTTAAACTGAATCACCAAACTGTCCACAATGTAGCCATTTCTATGAAGCAGCCCTGTTTCCACATAATGTGGGTCTGACTGTCATTTAGACACACTGCTGTTAGCAGCTGTTCATGAACCTAAAAAAAGGACGACAACCTCCTCACTGCAATCACTCGCAGAGAGATTGGCAAAGTTCTTAAAAAACGTACTGTCGGATTTAAAAATGCAGACAGACGCAGCCGGCACGGTGCAATCCATCTCAGTAACCATGCACCGATGAGCGTACCTCATTTGTGATGCGCTTCTTTGGAATTGGGAACTCAATTGATCGCAAAGTGGTTGTACTCCTAGTAAAAGCTTGGCTGCTGAATGCTAGTATTACTGCGCAGCTACTACATCACTATTGGTGGACGGATTTGCAACCGACTTGCAATTTTTTTGCCAGTTTGTCATAGTTAATCACCATATTGTCACAAACATTTTACATATTGGATGTAAATTCTAATTTGACCCCATTCATTTGCAAACCCATAGGAGGATGACTCCATCTTATTGCCATTCGATCACAATGCTCCGCCTTAACAGCCCAAATTTACTTTCAAGACAGGAACTGACTCTAAGTGGCTGCAGACCTGGTCCCTGTTTTTGCAACAACCATTTCAGAGACAATGACATTACAAGTTTATTGCACAAAATCACAATAATTTTGCTTTTGCTGTGGTCTCCTATCACTGTAGAACTATTGTAGATCTGCCCTAGACAGTGGGAAGTATATGATGATGTGTCAATGTCTGCATACTTTTAGCTACTGCTACAATTACTACTAATACTGTCAATATTTTAGTAATCAGTGCACTACTAGAAACACTTAACTCTGTAAATTCTCAATACTGCAGCTGGAAATTGTGATTCTTCAATTGTTGCTGCAGTCACATCCACTAGGTGTACTTTATAGACTTACTAGGACTTTAGTTGACACATTGTGAACAGTAGCTGTTACTACAACTGCTATTAACATAGATAATACAAGTCCACCTCAACAACCAACAGTTTATGGAAAACCTGAGAAAAAAAAAGAAAAGCCTGGACATCCATGAAAGACTACAGAGGATTTTCAAAGGATCCTGTCCATGGTAAAGAAGAAGAACTTTTTCACAGCGTGCAGCAGGATGCAAAACACTCCACTCCCAGGGCTACTGTATAGACAAATTATCAAGAGAAAATACTGAGGGTTCATCAGTGTAAAAGCAATGCAGAAGTAAAGTATTTTACAAACTAAGCTAAACTAAGCTAAGACTACTGAACAAACAGAAAGCCTGCAGTAAATAATCATAAAGGCAGAAATCCACATTTTGTTGATATCCATGAATTTAAGCAATTAATTTATATTTGTGATATTGTTTTCCACTTACAAAGACTGTATATAAATAGTGGCAAATCCTAAATGGTTAAAGTATGCATGTCAGTTGCATCCTTTGCTTCATTTCAAACCCCCTGTAGTGGTGCACAGAGCTAAAATTCAGGAAACCATCACTGTGCAACCTGACATTTTCCTAAACACATGAATTCCTGCACAAAGGAACTTAAACATACGGAAAACATGTGTAAACCCATCTTCATCAGCAGTATAATGACACATAAGCGAGGTCGGCATGAATAACACAGACTCAGTTCACACCACCTGATCAGAAACCCGAAATCTATTTGTTTGTAGCTGAGATAATAAAACAAGGCTAAAAGGAGCAACAATATTGCTGGTTTTGCAGGGCTTGCTGAGAGATCTGGCCAACTAAACACAATTAATGTAAGTATTGCACAAAAACACCATGAAAACACATTTTACGGCAGCAGGTGGAGAACACTAGCAGCAAAAACGTAACGATGATGGTTAAAAACCATCTGTTTCCCAGCAGTTTGATGACAAAGCTCTTGTGCTTTTGTTTTCCGAAACACTTGATTAAGATCAAAGGCAGGAGATTTTGTTTTTCAACCCAAATTAGAGAGCGTAGTCCTTGAGGCAAAAACACAAAAACACCAAAAGGTTTCCTTTGACGGTATCAGCATCATCTCAACATGATTTGTTGACTCAGAGGTACTGCCCCAGCAGACACGGCTGTGTTGAAGACGACTCATCCATTTTTTGGGGGGTACAAACCAAGGGAATAATGATACCATTGTGACATCACGGACAGCCAGCTTTACCTCACGTCCACACATCCTCTTCGGTATTTTCCAATCATTGTGCTTCATTAGCACAGAGGCACGAAATCCAGATACGAGCACACGGCACCTAAGGATGCACAGCGATCTGAGTGGCAGCGTCACACGAGGCGCTGTCTGGCCTTTCTCACCTCTCTCACAGTGCCTTCTCTTCCTCACACCCAAAACCATGGTGCTCATTTCCAAACGCAGCCAGACTTGAAGAAGAGGCACTCATATCAAAACGGCGTCCGACTGACAGCGCCATCCTCGTTCAGCCGGACCATCCTGCCGGAAGGGCTGTTGAACACTGAGCCTCCTATTCATACGGCACGCCGTTGAATAATGTGCACCCTGTTGCCGTGACAACGCCACACAATGTGTCCGGGAATGCTGTCTGCAGCCCCGCCTCCTTCTTTTTCAGAAAAAGGAAAAATCCTCACCTTCTCCATCTGTCCTGTTAACACAGTCCTCACCTTCTTTCAGAAACACGCTCTTTTCATTTCCATGTACAAGAAAAACCCCCACTCCCTCACAATGACTCCCTTCTTCTATATAGTAAAATACCCTTTTCCCTGTTCCTTTGGAAAGTCATCCTCTCCTTCCCTTCCCTTCTTAAAAAAGCCCCATTTGATCTTTCTGTCTTCTTTTTTTGTCCCTATTCATCCTAAAACCACATTTTTATCCACTCCAACAAAATACAAGAAGACCTCCTAACATTCAAATATGTTGAAGAGCAAAAAAGAAAAACAGGAGATGCAAAGAAGCAAATTAGTTTACTGGCAGTGTTTCCCCTCAGCCTCGTAGTAGATACACCTGTGGTATCAATTTGAAAATCCTTCTTCAGTCGTTGCATTCACAAGATTTCAAAGTTCTAACTTACCGAGGAAGGTGTTGGCGATGTACTCTGACACCTGATTCCCTGAGCGGCTTGTTTCCGATAGCTGTGTCAGCTCGCGGTTCAGCATCCTCTTAAACTGTGTAGACATGACAAAACCATAAACAACACATGGTTAGTCTGCAAACACACACCAAGCATATGGGTGTGCATGTGTGTAGCAAGGCATTTTATTTCAAAATCCTTTCTGTAACTGTAAACACTAAAACAACATGCCTCCTTCCCTTCATTTGACTCTTAGAACAACAGAGGAAACATGTAGAAAACTACGTTACCAAAATATGGGTGCAAACAAACAGATGGACCAAACAAAACAAACACTGAAGCACTTTCCAACGTTTGAATGAAATTTGTTTCATGTTCTAAACACAGAGACAAAGCGGTAAACAAAAAGGTTTCCAAGGACAAACAAAAACAAACAAACCCACAGTGCATGAAAGGTCAACGGAAAAAAATGACTAATATGTTACTACAGACAACCTAATGGATGCATGTCACATTTTAGCTTTTAAATTGCACATTACTAATTTGCTTAGATTTTTGTAACTGCAAAAACGTGGGAGAAATGTGAAGAGGCAGGTGAAAGATCGCATAACTAAAAAACAAATCTCATTATTTGTGTAACAAAATAGAGGGAAGAAGACAAGGTGCTGTGATGAAGGTGGTAACCTCCATGCAGCCACACTTTACACAATATACTTGAGCTACCTTGAGTTACCTGATACACATGGCTCATATACGTAACCCTAAATGAGGAAACACAATCTGTGATCTCATACAGCACGCTCATTTATTTTGCATTTACTGAAATTGTTTTATATGTAGTGTATGCATATCATTATTTTTTATAGGTTTTTTATAGGTTTGACTCATTTTAGTCTGTTTGGCTGCTGAGGCCTCTGGGCTGTTCCTCCAGCATGCGGTGCTATTAAATACAGGAGGTGCTGATCGGAACAAACCAAGTATTGTGACGCCATAGGGCAGATAGCTAGAGTCATTTATCTTTGTTCTTTATATATCTTAGTTTCGTGAGTTAGATATTGAGTAATTTTGGGTTTGATTGCTGTTACAATAGATTCAATTAACTACTAAGCAAACTGTAGATTTTTTTCTTTGTTATTAGATAATTTACAAGTGTTTGTTCCTCACCCTGCTCAGAGTATCTAAATTGGTCTGATTGAATCTCTTTGTATCTACTTTATTACACTGAGTTTGGTTCTGTTTATTTAACCTCTTTAAGTGCCAAGAACTAAACTTGGCACATAAATGAAGGAAATCTGGGTTTGGTCGATTACTTCTTTGTTGCAACAATGCTTCTGTGAATAAATCTTATACTGTTGGAGAGCCTGTTTCCTCTGAAATGGTGCCACATTTGTAAAGAAAATGCATTCGTGGGTCGAGCAGAATAGTTCAGTATGTGAGTTGTGCCCATGAAAAATGTGGCAAATCTTCTCTGACAATATTAAAACTCTTCTTGACTCTTGTTTTGAGCTTCCAGTAGCCCAGATGCTAACAATCGGGTGCCTGATTAGCAGCAGTTGTGAGCAAGGTCCCTGCTACAGCAGTCAGGTGGTGTCTGTCTGCTCTAAAAGTGCCACGTTTGACTGATCTGGAAAGGGCCCGTGCCATAGGGCAACTTCAAGCTGGTGTCTGGGATGTCAGAGACAGGCCATGAAGTGGGTGTCCCAAGAAGATTACACTACACCATTACGCTGGCATTGGCAACACATGCACTGGGACCTGAACACTGGGAGGTACATTATGTTCAGCGAAGAGTCCAGATTCTGCCTACAACTATTGGATTGTAGGATCAAAGCTTTAAGAGGACCTGGACAACACTGTGCTGATTGGTGGACCTTCTGGTGGAGGTAGTGTGATGGGGCAGGGAGGCATCTCCCTCACTGAAAAATAAGGCTTGTTATCTCAATGCAGAGAGATGCAGGTTGTGCGACCAACACAACCACATTTGCGAGAAATGCTGGTTGAAGAATGGGATGCCATCCCACAGCAGTGTGTGACCAAGATGATGACCAGCATGAGGAGGAAGTGCCAGGCTGTTGTGGCAGTGTTCTTCCACATGCTACTGAGGCCTCCATTTGTTAAACTGTCAGTACGCATCGTTTCTTCAGATTTCCATAATTCAGTCCAGTAAGCTGTTTGCATTGGTAGAGAAAAGTTGGCAAGTTCTTAATGGGCACGACCCACATCTATATTTTCCTTATTCATTTTCACTGTTAATGCCCCAAAAACTTCACAGCCAAATCAAAAGTTTCATTTTTTTTGCTTCGATTAAGAGTGAAACGAAATGTGGGGAAACCCCAGCAGTGCAGCACTCACAGGATTATGCTCCCAGCCTACAGTCCATGAATACCCTTTGATATACCTCCGTATATGCATATACATT